TAAAGGATAGGGGGCTTAGATCCACTTTAGCTATTGCCACGCATGCAAATAAACATTGGGGTTGATTTAACAAAACTGGAGAATGCAAAATCTGGTGCAACTGTGCATGGAAGCCAATCAACTTCTAACTTCAGATTGTTCAGTTAAGCGTAAATGAACCCCTCTTATTTGTTTGTATGAGCATTCAAATCTTGCATAAATCATCTCAAATAAATATATTCAAATTCATGCAAATTGCCCACCATACAATGGGAAAAACGTATTGCTGTCCATAATTTCAAAAAAGCAGTCACACTCCTAGTATCCAGTAACCAAACAAAAAAAATCCAACATTGCCAAAGAGATCCAGTAAGTATCTTACCCATGATCCCCTATTGCCCAGGGGCCCCATGAGTTGTCAGTCCACCCCTGCTTGGGAGACAGCCCCACCCTCTCGAGCAGACAGCAGGTTATAGACAGCCACATCTGTGCATGTTTCTCTATGAGTTTGTGTAGGGGGGGGGTGTCCATTCCATCCTCTCAAGTTACACTCAGCTCCCTGCTCTATGCTGTGTAGTGTGTGACTTCAGATCCCCACCTCCTGCCATCTGGATCTCAGAAATGCTGCATAAAATGTGAACTATGAATAGTTGTAGAGAGGAGACGGCTACAGATAAACAGGTACAACTTATATAGGCTGGTCTGTTTAATCTCTGTGTATCACCTGAGGCTAGTCAAGTCAGTAAGGCATTCCAAGCAAGCCAGCCATAAAAGAATTCACAAAAAAAAACACTAGGATTCAGGCCTGGATATAGGGGAAGTTGTGCCTCTCCCCAAGTTATCTGAGAGTGCACTCACTGATCCATGAGGGGCAAATGATGTAAGGGGACACTCTGATGGGGACCTTAGATGTTGAAAGGAACTTCTGATTGGGATAGTTTTTATTTACTAAGGAGTTGCTTGGTAATTTAGGTTCTGCGCCTCAACTCCATGAACAACCCCTGCCCTCCTGGGACACACCTGGTTGAGTGAAAATTGCTGTAAGCACTTATAGGAACCCAAGTGTGGACACCTTTAACTTGACTGTGAATAAGTATCAGGAGACACTCAAGACACAAGACCATTAAGTGGTAAATTAACTCAATGTATTGATATGGGTTAGAATAAATGGTGGTTTGAGCATAAATGAGCATACAGAAGGTAGGTTCAAACACAGTCTGCCAAACAGTATAATCACTATGCCAATGTAACTTAGAATAGAGTTAAGTACCACTAGACTGGACTAAACTCATAAATCATAAAGTCAGCAATAACAGTGTATATAAGCAATAACTACAGTGTGAATGATAATGCTATAACCGCACTCCCGCAATGATATGGCACAATGCCCCCTAAGAAGCATCTTGTAACATAAGCAAGAGGTAAAGGTCTCTGTGTAGCAGCTGTAAAGGGGCAGCCTTTACTGTAGTCCTCACTCTTCAGCCGGCTAGTGTTGGAGCCCAGTTGTACCATTGCTGCACATGAGAACAGTCCCAGTCAAACCTGCAGGCAGAAATAAGGCTACTAGATGGCTGTATGACCAGTTACTAAAGGAATCTCTAGCAGCACATAGCAAATCCTCACAGCAGCAGCTCACCAGATCCAGTGATATTGCAGCTCACCATCCAGTCACACACGATATGATCGGTCCACTCTCTGCTCTGTATCCAGGTGGCATTGGCTGTCGGCACTCCTGAACTCAGCACTCTGAATCCCAGTCAGGAGGCAGCAGTGATGATGCACACTGGACAAGGAAGTGCACTCTCCGGTTCCCCTCATGGCAAGAGGACGTTAAGCCTTGTACAGCTTGAGAAAATGCAGGTCTTTCCCCTCCTTCAGGCAATCTCTCTCTGGGGAATGTAGTTCAAAAGTTCATGATTACACAGTAGAGTCTCTCTCCTCTGGACTACAGTTCCCACAGTGCAGTGCTGCCTGACTCAGTTTACTGAACTCTTCCTACTCTGCATCTGCCTCCGTTCACCGATATACAGTGAAGGAAATAAGTATTTGATCCCCTGCTGATTTTGAATGTTTGCCCACTCACAAAGAAATGATCAGCTAAAAATCGAATGGTAGGTGTATTGTAACACAGAGACAGAATAGCAACTAAAAATTCAAAAGAAATGCATGCCTAACAGATTATGCACTGATTTGCATGTTCATGAGGGAAATAAGTATTTGATCCCCTTCACAAAACATAACTTAGTACTTGGTGGCAAATCCCTTGTTAGCAATCACAGAGGTCAGACATTTCCTGTAGTTGGCCACAAAATTTGCACACATCTCAGGAGGGATTTCGGCACACTCCTCTTGGCAGATCCTCTCCAAGTCTTTAAGGTTTGGTGGCTGACGTTTGGCAACTTGAACTTTCAGCTCCCTCCACAGATTTTCAATGGAGACTGGCTAATCCACTCCAGGACCTTAATGTGCTTCTTCTTGAGCCACTCCTTTGTTGCCTTGGCCGTGTGTGTTTTGGATCATTGTCATGCTGGAACACCTATCCACGACCCATTTTCAATGCCCTTACTGAGGGAAGAAGGTTCTCACCCAAGATTTCACAGTACATTGCCCCATCCATCGTCCCTTTTGATGCGGTGCAGTTGTCCTGTCCCCTTAGCAGAAAAAACACCCCCAAAGCAGAATGTTTCCACCACCATGTTTGACAGTTGGGATGGTGTTCTTGGTATCATAGGCAGCATTTCTCCTCCAAACACGGCGAGTTGAGTTGATGTCAAAGAGCTCATCTCATCTCATCTCATCTGACCACAACACCTTCAACCAGTCCTCTGAATCATTCAGATGTTCAGTGGCAAACTTCAGATGGGCCTGGACATGTGCTTTCTTGAGCAGAGGGACCTTGTGGGCACTGCAGGATTTCAATCCTTGTCGGTGTAGTGTGTTACCAATTGTTTTCTTGCTGACTGTGGTCCCAGCTGCCTGGAGATCATTGACAAGATCCTCACATGTAGTTCTGGAATGATTCCTCACTGTGCTCATGATCATTGACACTCCACAAGGTGAGATCTTACATGGTGCACCAGACCTAGGGAGACTAACAGTGGTTTTGTGTTTCTTCCATTTGCAAATGATTGCACCAACTGTTGTCACCTTCTCACCAAGCTGCTTGGCGATAGTGTGGTAGCCCAGTCCAGCCTTGTGTAGGTCTAAAATCTTGTCCCTGACATCCTTGGTTTTTACCATGGTGGAGAGTATGGAATCTGATTGTTTGATTGCTCCTGTGGACAGGTGTCTTTTATACAGGTAACAAAATGAGATTAGCAGCACTCCCTTTAAGAGACTGCTTCTAATATCAGCTTGTTATCTGTATGAAAGATACCTGGTAGCCAGAAATCCTGCTGAATGATAGGGGATCAAATACTTATTTCCCTCATGAACATGCAAATCAGTGCATAATTTGTTAGACATGCATTTCTTTAGAATTTTATGTTGTTATCCTGTCTCTCAGTGTTACAATACACCTACCATTCGATTTTTAGACTGATCATTTCTTTGTGAGTGGGCAAACATTCAAAATCAGCAGGGGATCAAATACTTATTTCCTTCACTGTAGCTGTTAACTAGTTAAGCACCGCAGGGCAACAGCTACAGAGAACAGCAGTAGCCAGTGTATCTCTCACTCCATTCTTAGCCAAGCATCTAGCTACATAACGTACACCCTGGGAAACAGCAGCAAACATTCCACTTTAACATTCCTCATTTAATTGCACTACACCATATAGCTGTGTATGTTTTATCTTTGTCACTTTTAAAGCTGAACTCCAGGCAGATACAAATTAAAGATACAGATACACAAATTAAAGCAAAAGCTCACCTTTGGGAATATATTACAAGGTCCAACCGTTTAAATGGTCTAACATGTAACATGTTCCCATTGCTACAGTCTCTTTCCAAACTCGGAGGATGTTCTCCGAAAACTCGCTGTCACAAGTAAGAGTTCTGTATATGGGAGAACTGCAACTAGCATCAGCCTTTGCAGCCACCGGCATTCCCAGTATTCCCGCCACCGCCGAGTACCAGGCCAGCCGCTTGACTCTACAGTGAAGAAGAACCCGCTCCTCTAGCCTACCTGTTCCTCGGTCCAGTGGTGTCCTTCATCCATTGGCCGTCTTCTCTCCTTAGCGCCGGCATCTTCAGTGTGGGCACCTGGCTGTGACAGGTTGCGGTTTCACAGCCAGGTGCCCACTGCGCATGCTCAAGAAGCGCTGCACTTTGTGAATGGCCCTGTAGTCTTGTGGGACTCGTCACATGTCCCACAAGACTACGGGGGGGGGGGACAACTCCACGGAAGTGGGAGGGGGTACCTGTCAAATTTGGGTACCCGCCCCCTTCCCTAAAGGTCCGCAGTCTCTGGTCATCTTCTTTAGTATGACTGCAGTCTCTGGTCATCTCCTGTAGTATGGCCCCAGTCTCTGGTCATCTCCTCTACTGTGTCCGCAGTCTGTGGTCATCTCCTGTACTATGTCTGCAGTCTCTAGCCATCTCTTGTACTATGTCCGCAGTCTCTGGTCATCTCCTGTACTCTGTCCGCAGTCTCTGGTCATCTCCTGTACTCTGTCCGCAGTCTCTGGTCATCTCCTGTACTGTGCCCGCAGTCTCTGGCCATCTCCTGTACTGTGCCCGCAGTCTCTGGCCATCTCCTGTACTGTGCCCGCAGTCTCTGGCCATCTCCTGTACTATGTCTGCAGTCTCTGGTCATCTCCTTTAGTATGTCTGCAGTCTCTGGTCATCTCCTGTAGTATGGCCCCAGTTTGTGGTCATCTCCTGTACTATGTCCGCAGTCTCTGGTCATCTCCTTTAGTATGTCCGCAGTCTCTGGCCATCTCCTGTACTATGTCCATAGTCTCTGGTCATCTCCTGTACTCTGTCCACAGTCTCTGGCCATCTCCTGTACTATGTCCGTAGTCTCTGGTCATCTCCTTTAGTATGTCTGCAGTCTCTGGTCATCTCTTGTAGTATGGCCCCAGTCTCTGGTCATCTCCTGTACTGTGTCCGCAGTCTGTGGTCATCTCCTGTACTATGTCCGCAGTCTCTGGTCATCTCCTGTAGTATGTCCGCAGTCTCTGGCCATCTCCTGTACTATGTCTGCAGTCTCTAGCCATCTCCTGTACTATGTCCATAGTCTCTGGTCATCTCCTGTACTTTGTCCGCAGTCTTTGGTCATCTCCTGTACTATGTCCACAGTAGCCATCTCTGTACTATGTCCATAGTCTCTGGTCATCTCCTGTACTTTGTCCGCAGTCTCTGGTCATCTCCTGTACTATGTCCGCAGTCTCCAGCCATCTCCTGTACTATGTCCGCAGTCTCCAGCCATCTCCTGTACTATGTCCGCAGTCTCTGTACTTGGTCATCTCCTGTAACTGTACTATGTCCGCAGTCTCTAGTCATCTCCTGTACTGTGCCCGCATCTCCTGTACTATGTCCGTAGTCTCTGGTCGTCTCCTGTAGTATGTCCGCCATCTGGTCATCTCCTGTACTATATGTCTCTGGTCATCTCCTGTACTATCTCTGCAGTCTCTGGTCATCTCCTGTACTATGTCCACAGTCTCTGGTCATCTCCTGTACTATGTCTGCAGTCCATTGGTTCAGAATTTTTTTTTTCTCGTTTTCCTCATCTCTGTACTTATGTCCAGGTGTGTCTTGTGAACAGTCTCTGGCCATCTCCTGTACATGTCCTGTAATCTCTGGTCATCTCCTTTAGTATGTCTGCAGTCTCTGGTCATCTCTTGTAGTATGGGCCCCAGTCTCTGGTCATCTCCTGTACTATGTCCACAGTCTGTAGCCATCTCCTGTACTATGTCCATAGTCTCTGGTCATCGCCTGTACTTTGTCAGTCTCTGGTCATCTCCTGTACTATGTCCGCAGTCTCCAGCCATCTCCTGTACTATGTCCGCAGTCTCCAGCCATCTCCTGTACTTTGTCCGCAGTCTCGGTCATCTCGTGTACTATGTCCGCAGTCTCTAGTCATCTCCTGTACTGTGCCCGCAGTCTCTGGCCATCTGATGTACTATGTCCGTAGTCTCTGGTCGTCTCCTGTAGTATGTCCGCCATCTCTGGTCATCTCCTGTACTATATCTGTAGTCTCTGGTCATCTCCTGTACTATCTCTGCAGTCTCTGGTCATCTCCTGTACTCTGTCCACAGTCTCTGGTCATCTCCTGTACTATGTCTGCAGTCCATTGTTCAGAATTTTTTTTTTTTTCTCGTTTTCCTCCTCTAAAATCTAGGAGCATCTTATGGTCAGGTGTGTCTTGTGAAGTGAAAAATATGGTAGATAGCTCACACTGACAGTCTGCATTGCAGATTGCGGCTGCAATGCTCTGTATGCTCCTAGTAAAAAAAAATGTATAAATGCACATTTTTAACCTGCAAAAAGATGTGCATTTATTATTTTTTTTACAAAGGTGATCTTATCCTTTAATGCATCTCTGTTTACATTAATACATCATTAAAATAATTTAATGCAAGCAGTGCAATACCTGAATTTAACTTGGTATTTATCTCTAGCAATCTCCTGTACAGAAGTAGTATTTATACAGGGAAAGGGACAGCAGCACAAGCAGCCAATCAGGCCTGCTGCAGAATATGCTGATAAGAGGGAGCAGAGTGGCAGAGAAAATAGCTTATCAGCCTGCTGCTCCTCATTTCACTGTCCAGTCATAGACTGGGGGAGGGACAATGCCTGTGGCTGTTTACTTAACTGTAGCTAACATCTGGTGTTCTGCCGTATAAAAAAAGCCAGACAGGGTGGCAGAGCTGTGATAATCTCAGGACTTAACGTGATACTAAAGGATCCTGAGTGCCCCCGGGGCAAGTTGCTTGCTCTGGAGGTACTTGTGCGTTCTTGCTCCTGAGCTGCCTCTAATGCTTCTATAAAACACACAAAATGAAGCTCAGCCCCGGCCCTCACAAAGGCAAACAACTCCTCTACTTCTCCCTCCCTTCTCCAAGCTAACAGACTGGTGGGAGACTGCACTGTCCAGTGTTAACTCTTTTCTGTGATGACCAGACGTTCAGGGAAGCAGCACTGAGAGAGCAGGAGCCAGCAGCACTGGAAGATGTAAACTGCAAGTGTTGGGGTAAGAAAGGTAACAAATAGTTTACTGGGGAATGTTAATTTTATTGTGCTCAGTGTTGCATAGTTCCTGAACCCCTGAAGGCATTCAGACATTCCCTGCATCAACAATCTCTGGTGTTCTTACATATAAATGTTAACATGTAGTTATAGTTTTTGCATTTTAAAACAATCTACTGAGCTGACCAGAACAATTTCTTGGAGTATATGCCATATTTTCAAAGTTCTTATTTTGAAGAGTCTGTTACATCACATTTCACCAGCAATAGAGAGTGCCCTTGTCTTCTGTCATGACCTGAAAGTGAATAACTCTGCATCAAGTCTAGCATATGAAACACCTATGTACAGCATGTACACATGGTGGCCCTATCCCCCCTTAATTGCCTCTTCTCAAAAGAAAATTAATTTGGTGTATAATATTCCCTCATAGCTGAGCTCCTCCATGCTTCTTCTCAGTTTTGTTGCCCTTTTCTGCACTTTTTCCAGTTCACCAAATACCTTTTTTGAGAACTGCATATTCCAAATGAGGTCTTACTAATGTTTTGTAAAAAAAAAAAAGGCAAAATTATGTTTCTCTCTGGAGAATATACTTCTTACTACATGTAGTATTTTGCTAGCTTTAGAAAGTGTGGCATGGCATAGCATGCTATTAACTCTGTGATCTATCAGAACTCCCAGATCCTTCTCTACCATTGACTCCACCAGTTGCACTGCCCCTAGTATGTATGATGCATGCATTGTTTTAGCCCTCAAGTGCATAACTTTACATTTATTAACATTACCCTTATACACAACATGGTTGCCCAATTAAATAGTACATTGAGGTCGGCTTGTAGATTGGATACATCCTGTAAGTAAATTTTTCCACTATTCCACTACATCAAGTGGAAACAAGCCAGTCATTAAAGAGTCTCTAAAAATTAGAAACAATGGATTGAGAATTCAACTTAGTGAGGGAACATGGTTATAGGACATCAGGTCCAGGTGTTTTATTCACTGTTATTTTGTCTAAATATTTCTGGACCATATCAATTTTGAGACATTGTGGCTCTTTTGGGACTGTGTCAATGCTATCTCCAATGGGCACTTGAGCTCCCGCATTGTCCTTTGTGTACAAGCTGAGTAAGGAACAAACTGAAAGATAAAACAATCTTTGGAAGGTAAAAACAGCTACTTTGTATGTATTTTATCTGTGCTTTTAGAGGTTTACCTGGAGTTCGGTTTCAAGATTGAGAAATACATTTCTTAAAAAGTTAAAGTGTGTATATCGAAGAGATAAAAAAGTGAAATTTGTGAAATATTTAAACATCCTTTGTTGACCATGTGAGCTCATGAATTTGTTCAGCAATGATTTTGTATCTTTACACTGCCTACATGTTTATTGTGTAAGTCTTGCACAGTAATATATCTGTCTGCAGATGTAAAGCCTTTACCACTTTGTTATCTATTCTAGGAAAATCAGAACCACAGCAGCTGAACTTCTTAGTATCACATTCTAAAACTGAGGTAAAAGAAAATGAGTTCACAGGAAGTCTGGATATAAAATGCAAAGCAAGGTGACACAACTTCCTTTGGTATAGCGCTGGCTTGCCCCTAAAGACTTATCTCTCGACACCATGGCTCATTATAACTAACCACAGGCAGCAGAAATATATAAACAACTATATACCTGTAGCCCTGTTTTTGGGGGGGGGTTATGTGAAATGGCCCACACCAAACAAGCTATGGCGCTAACCTGTATATGAGTAGGCAATCCTGAGCCTTCGCTATATGGAAGAGGGGGTTGTGATAATACAAATGGCAGTGCCTCCACCTAGAATAGGGATCCTGCAATTGAGGAGACTCACCCCTTTCTAGGAATGTAACAGGTAGACAACTTAAAGTAACTATACATAGCAGTATTAATGCACCCAGCTTATATTTCTAACATGAAAACATGTCACCACACCTGTATGAGATTAATGCAAAGTTTATATAAAGCAGCCACTTAAAACAGGATGCATAAGAATAACATTCAGGAATTACAATTTACCATAAATTGGGAGGTTGCAATTATACCCGGGTATATGTGCATGTAGTATACAGAATACCTCCAACCATGGGTTATAGCGCCCCGGTTGCAGGGGCCCCTGGAGAGGTGAGAGTCAATAAGATGCACGCTTCCACTTTAGATGCTGTGATGGCGTCCAAGTAACATGCGAATGATTGCACTGCTTGTCTGAAGATCAGCGATGCATCACCTAAAAGGATAAAATGCCCTATCTATCCTTACTCTTAGTCCCTATCCCTAAACTGGGCTGTCACTGCAACCGGGCCTCTATCTGTCTAAGTGGCCGTCGGATGCCTAACCTACCTCTAGCCTAATCTATCCAACGCTCCCTATGCTAATCCTAGCTAAAAGGAGATCCAGACCAATAAGGATGTTATGGCTTTAAGCAAAGAGGCTGCAAAGATACACTGCAATTAACAGAAAGTTCACCTGACAGTCTTATGCAGGTGAAAACACGGATCTATCTATATATATAGACAACTATAAGGATTCTGCAGTGTGTAAATAGAATAATGATAATGAACCACAAATCTCTCTCTTACAGAGATATTAGGGTTCCTATACAGAAGTTGAAATATAACAAAGGCAGACCTAATCTGCTTCAGTAACAACTAAATAGATAGCAGCCTTGTTAATCTGGATCATTACTCACAGAATCCCCATACAGTTCTCCCCAGATACATAGCACATGGCAGGCTGGTACCCTCTGCCTGATACTTCCTGGAAAACAAACTATATAACATCCTTGGGTTTCTTGACCTCCTTGTAGGGGCAGGAAGCACACCTAGGGACTTGTCTGTAATGGGACCTCTATGGTAGTGGCTGTATATGAACATAAACAAACCACAACTAGTGTATAAAATAACAGTTCCCTACATACCTATCAGTTTCCTTCCACATACTTTATGACAATGCTACATATTGACCTATGAAACCAGGCACAACAATTACTTTAACATTAAGCAAAATTACATTTAAATTCTGAGCTCTATATACTTATTGGGCTTACTTGGCATCATTATTTTATAATGAATTTAATAGATTTAAAAGAAATTAAATGTATGTGTGTAATCTTCCTGTCCCATGCAAGTGTAGCTCTATCAGTAACCTGACTGACATATTTTGAAAGGATGCTCAACTTCAAGCGCTTGTAAAATCTTTTTTTTTTCTTTTAAAATAACAAATGTGGTATACTTACCTGCTCTGGGCAAAAGAATTGCACAGAGCAGCCTCAAACCTCATCTTTTTGGGTCCCCCGCCTCCTCCTCAGTGTACAACTATAGGAAGCCACTTTCTATTGCGACACACCTGCGAGCTTGCTCCCAAGCCATGCTGCCTATGTCTATAGACACGGACAGTGAGGCTCAGCCCTGCCCTCTGCTCCCTCATCACAGGATTTGACAGGCACAGTGCTGGATAGAGATCAGGCTTAGGGAGATATAGGGGGGAGAGGAGGGAGATACACATACAAAAACAATTTTTTACCTTAATGCAGGGGATGTATAAAGATAAATGTTTAGGATTTAGAACCACTTTCAGTTTACTAACAACTGCATAAAGAATGCTTCAAGTCCATTTACAGACAGTAAAGTTTCAGAAATGTTCATTCCATGTGTGGTTCTTTTTTCTTGACATTCAGAAATAATGGGCACCAGTTCTTTAGTAAATGTTAAGTAGAAAAGAAATGTATTGCACAAAGCACTATGGGAAGGAGGCTGAGGTGTGGATCAGGATATACCCAAATACACTGATTCACAAAAATCAGACTAGGCCATCATTTCGTCTGCATATCTCAAAGGGGTTGATTGACGGATAGCAAATATGTTGTTTTCTTTGCAAGGGAATTACCTCAGAGCTTAGTGAGCTTGGTGAAATTTCACTTTGCAAAGAATACCCAATCGTGTGTAGGGGATTCAATTATTTTGCCTACACATAACTGAACAGTGTAGGTGTCCGCAGAACTTCACCCCATTCAAGCTCTGGAGAAAATTCCTTTGTAAAGTGAACAATCTTTTTGCCTTTAGTGAATCAACAAGTCTCTAGTTGTTAC